TCATCTCCTCTGCAAACAGATGATACAGGAGTGGTTTCTGTTACGTATCCTGATACAGGAATGGCTTCTTTCATATTAAGATTATTCTGCGCAACCCTAAGCAGCCAAAGGTGCAGTAAGAAATAAAAAAAAACCCTCCTGAAATCTTATGTGTTTAATTCTGTGTTTGCCACTATATAGTATTACAAATTATTTATGGCAGACAATAACAATACCAAAACTATTAGCTAACATTAAAAAAAAAAATTCCTTGGCTTATTTGCATGTCACAGTCATCTTAGTGCAAAGTGTTAGTTATCAATACTAATTATTTAGTGAAGTTATACCGATGAGCTGACTGGCATACGTTAATTTCATGGACATTTTTACTGAGCAAATCTGCAATTTACATCAGAGCCGCATGCTTTAACTGCCATATTGTTCAGACATTTTAAATCTGAAAGCAGTCTTATCATCTATTTAAGATGTAAGATTTTGCTCAAGTCAAACATGAATGAAGGAGCCAGTGGAAGACCTGATGGGACACAAAAGCACAGTGCAAACGATCTACTAGGATGCAAGTATGCGGAAACAGTTATATGGGTGATGTAAGTAGAATGAGGCTGCTACATCATGGAGTGGAGCTACCTGGTATCATTTGCACTGCTGACAGGTTTGGGTTGAGCTGAGTCGCTACCGATGGGAGCGGGGCGACTGACAGCAACGCTGCAGTGGTTCCGTGCATCACAAGGGAAACTCCGCGTGCTGTGGCAAGAAGAAAAACTTCAGGAAACAGTTTAAAAAGAAAAAAAAAATGGGAGTTGAAAGTTTATTTTTAAAATAAAATTTTGAAGTGTGCATAATGAGGCCTAATTTTTAAAAGTTTTTCAAGTACATAAAGACTTTTATGTCAAATAATTCCGGGTCTCAGAAGCTTCAGGGGCAGTCAAGAGGTACAATAACAATAACAATCTTCAAAATACAAATCTCCAAATCTTTAGATTATTACTAGATTCTGCCAACAGCTAAGCAACTTTAAAAAAAAAATTTCAAGTGTAGAGTTTGACAATGTGCTGATCATCTTGAAAAATAAGACCCTCTATGTAAAAATATGCATGACAAAGTCTATTGTGAAATTTTTTAAAACTGTTTTTTCATTAATTTTCAAGTCAACTCTTTCAAAGGGGACCAAAACCTTCCATTGTTTTAAGCTTCTTCACAGCAGGTTGGTAATGATGCAGAAATGCCACCATATTCTAAAATGCTACATTTGTAAGTCTTACCTATGCTAAACTACAGAAAGCACTGTCACAGGCATGTACACAGACTTTCAAAGTAGGGAAGGAAATAAAAGTCTCGTTAATGAGCAGTTTTCACTGATTTAAAGCTTGTTACACTGAAACACTCTTTTCAGGAAAGACAAAGGGGGTAAGAATCACTTCAAATTGAGAAAGCATGCGCCAATAAAAACTGTAAAATTAAGCGTGGGCAGGGGGGAAGAAACTATATTGTCCTTAAAAGCACATTGATAAAATTCAGATCACTAACATGCTGATTTTTTCTACCTGCTTTGCCCTCAACAGGAAAGGAAAGGGGTTCCACTTACTGACAGTCAGCATAGCCAAGAGAGGATAAACCAGTTTAGAACGGGCACCAATGCTAAATACCTGAAGCCTTCAGGCGTGGGGATGATAAGATGAGGATTTGGTGGATCACTATGGCACCGAGGTACTTTTACGGGACGGGGACTGTTTCGATGAATAGCTGCAAGAATCAAAAAGGTAGCACATTTACTCAGATGTCAGGAAAGATATCAGGAAGATGTCAAGACATAAAATTGAAACAAATTACTATTTTACAGGTTTAAGTGTGAACTGGCACATATTTTCTTATCCTTTAAGAAATATCCAAATTATTCCAATTTTAAATAGATCAACTATATGTCTCATTCATATTATTGTATCATGTAACTCATCTATAAAATAATGAAAATTCTCCAGGGAATTAAAAACCAGCAGTTAGAAGACATGTACTCACTTCACTAAAACTACATCTTCATTATTTCAACTTCACAGATTAAAGCTCATTTGTTATCTTATTGTAAAATAAATATTAACAAACCAAATAATAATTAAAAAGCAAATAGCTTTATTATGTTCCTTTCACATCAGAATTAGTTTTCTCAGACAATAACAGAAAGCAAAATAAGCAGGGAAAATAACCCACATATGGCAGTTTTACCCATACTAATGCCCCCCATGACAGCCTGCCCCCAGGGAGTGGTACAAAGGGACAGGGCCAAACCTAAACAAGCCGTCACTGTTCTCATGCCTAGCTCATTCAGTGCCCATAAGAGTAGTCTGCAGCGTCTTCCCCTTCCCTCAGCCCCTCCTTAAATAGCCAGAAGAACATTGTGGCAGCCACATCACAAGATAGCTAATGCCCATCAAAACATGAGTCAGTACTCTCTGCCAGGCTAGGTCAATCACAGTGAGCTGACCTTCTGCCTTATTTGCGCTGCCAGGACAAGTAAAGGATGCCAGGGCCAGGTGCTGGTTGTCCCGTTACAACTCTCAAGGACACTAGCAGAAAACCCAGGAGGCAGAACCTAATCCACATGGGTGGACATAGGCTGTTTCACAAAGCAAAAAGATAGGATAAAACACCAGGAGACCCCCAGCTGTGTGCCTACAGGTAACAGCATGAACACAACTGGATCCTCAGCTTTGGGAAAAGGGGTAAAGAACACAGTGGGTTTAAGTCCCTCAACATACTATGCAAATGGAACTAGGAATTCTTATTTTTCTCCTGATCCCAAGATAGAAAGAGGTAGCTGCAATATCTGCAGCCAGCATACAGTTTATGTTTAGTTATGTTTATTTCATATGCATTAAAGTTTCAGCCTGCTGTTCAAGACTGCACCATCCGTCTGTGTCTCCTCTTCCCTGTGCCTCTGAGCCAAAAGCTGTCAAGCAGTTTAGTTTGTGTGATCTGCTGTGTCTGCAATAGCATTTAAGAGTTTCAGTAGTTTGGGATCATCATGCTAGTGGTTTACCTAAAATAGGCCTTTCTCTGAACAACAGTATCAAAAGTGAATGGGGAGGTTTTTAAATCACAGTACAGAACTTGCCTAGAATTTATTTTAGACTATGCTTCTTTCCAAAGAATTGGACTGAGTTTCATTTGAAAGGCTTCTCAGCTGTAAGAGTTTCTCATCAAAATTATATCAAAACTGAAACTTTCCTGAAATACTGAAAAACCTCCTCTTGTCTGAGTCAAATTACCTTCCCTTCATGTCTTCTGCCATCAACCCTGTCCAGGAAGTGGACATCAGGAGAAAGAAAAGAAGAAGATGTGGTATTTTGAAAGTTAAAGCAGTCAATGGACTTGGGAGGAAGAAGAGAGAAACAGTGCTGAGAAAGAGACATGCAAAAAGGGAAACACAGCTGAGGAAACATCCTCTTCTCAAGATAAACAATGAAATATGTTGATTTCACTCTAATGCCAAAGGTATTTTTTTACACTGTGACAAATTTTGTGATATTGGAGAACTATTTCCCACAGCTCTATCGTCAAGCCCCCGGGTGTAACTCCTCTGTACCTCAACACTTATATAAAGTCCATCAGAACTGTAAATATCTGCAGTGCCACAATGCAATTTTGGGAGAGGGAGCTGTAACTGCCTCCTTAAAGTTATAATCACTTCTTTACCCAACCTTTAAAAAAAATTCACAATCCTTTTCCAGAAGATCTAAAAGACTTCACAGGGATTCAAGGACAAAAATCAGAGGAAAGCATCTGTAAAGCTTTTAAATTTCTTGAGTAAAGCCACCATGCATTTACACTTTGTCAGGCAATAATGGTTTCACATCAACAATCATTAATAGCTTAAAAATACTTTCACTGTTATTTCTAGCATTTTACAATTACTTTACAAATCAAAATACTTCACTATCAGCAAAGCTCCAGAACAAATGCCAGTAACTTCTGCCTTACCAAGGTACAAACCTGTAACAGGACTGTGAGGTTTTCCGATAACATGGCCAATACACTCATTCATCAGAGCTTGTAAACTCTAGAAAAGACAAATGGAAAAAGGTGTGATATTTTATGTTACAAGAGAGTTGATAGTCATATGGTAAAGCTCACAGTAATAAAATGACACTGGGTAAGTATGTAATCTGTCAAGTAAGCAGCCCCACATTCTATCAATTATATTAAACTTTTGGATCCACATTAGGGTTTTGACTTGGTTGATGCTTTTTTTTAAGCCAGAAGTCTTAGTCTTGTCTTGCCTTTTGACCTTGTCAAAATTCCATAAGAACTGAACAATGATATATCAAAAAGAACATTTCATAATGTAAAGCTAGTGTAGCTTAAAAATATCCATTGGTAATTAAATTAAAAATTAAGCTTGCTGGAAAAAGCTACAACAACCTCCTCTGCTTCCCTCTCCCCACCCCAAGAAGAAACACCCAAAGAAAATGGGTAAGAGTATAACAGCCTGAATCACAAGACGAAAGTCTGTGAAACAACAAATATGAAGCACTGCATATTAAAAGAAATCCCCTTTCCTTATCTAACCATGAAGTTCGTGAAACTTTCACAAAAGGGTGTTTAATATTTAGATGACTGAACTGGAGCTCAGGCAATCTGATCTTAATTAGTGGGTGTACTATTCACTGTGTATGTAACCTTGGACAAGTTATTAAATCTTCCTCTGCTTCAATTCACTTGTCAGAACACCAGGGATAAAACAAGTCTTCTCAATAAAGAATTAAAATTATGTTCTTAGGTACAGTTGTTATGAAGGCCACTTCTATATACCACTCACTCAGACTAGTCAAAATTAACTCCAGAAAATCAGAAACTTAGTGAAGACCAGGAACTTGAAAGCTAGATTAACAAAATGAAAAACCCTAAAAAGAAACCTAAAGAAAAAAAAAGTGGTTAGACTGTGATTGGCATATCTTATTAACCCAGACTGAGCTAGAATGTCAGCTTCAGATCTAGACTGTCCTTCTTCTATGACAATAAGTATTATTTAAATGAGAGATTAGGACTGGCAGACTTATTTTGAGGTAAAAGGCTGTGACTTGTGTTATACAGGCGTCAGATTAATCAAAACGGCTTCAAATGATGCTCTCCAAAACTGAAATCCAGTTTAAGAAAGCAAAAGTTCAGAAATGCAGTTGAGGTTTTTGTTTCTCCCCTTTCTCTCACACTTGTTCAAAGTCTGACTTCACTCCATCTTAACTAACGCTAGCTTTAAATTCTCTTCTCTGCACGTGTGAAACCTCTGTCATAAAAACATTCTTTTTGAAGAAGTGCCGTGGTATCTTGAGATAGTTATCAGTCAACAGAAACAAACTCATGCATGATTGCTTTTTTAATTCTCCTTCAAGGTCACAACAAGGTTGTCGATTCCATTTTTGGACAAAGTTACCAGTTTACGATGTCAAAGGCCACATTAGATTTTCTGAGCTTCTTTCCTCCTTAGAAGCTTCCCTTTAAATACCGAAGGGATCTCTAGTAAGACAGTATAATGAAAATATACACATATTCATCTTCAAAATACCAGGTGCTTTAGAAACTGTGTCAAAACAAATAAGTGAAGTTGAGGGGCTACTTCCTAAAGCTAAAGTATTAGTGTATTTCAAATATAAGCTTAACTCTGTCCTTTAGGCAGACAACCCTTTCCCAAAAACACACACACAGGACTTAGTTGCAAACTTACTTGAGAGCTCTTGATAAAAATATATGGGGTGGGGAGGGGAGGGAAAGAAGACTACACTATATGGTTTCTGCATTATGCAAGATTAATGTGGTTGGCATTTCATAACACATCCTGGAATGAATAAAAATCAGAGGCGCTGACACTCACATTTTGCTATTTTGTGGCAACTGTGCTTTCACTTCTCTGTAGTACTGTACCAAGATCAGAGAAATAAATTCTCAGAACTTTATTTCCACAGGAAAACGGGGAAGGCAGAGCACACAAAAAAGCCAGTTTTAGTCTACTATTTTTTACACAGTAAAAACAAAAGAAAGATGCTTTAAAGTCTGTTTCATGTTGGCACAATTTGAAGAAATACCTTTAAACAATTGTGACTTTGTATTCATACCCATAAATGAACTCTGGGTACTAACTAAGCCTCAGAAGCTTACATTCAGAAATTTATCATGACAACTATAAATTGTAACTCTGCAGAAAAGGTGCTGCCAAATTTCCCAAGAGACAAAGGGAGACAGCCTCCCAAGACAGTACCAGCATCTTGTCAGCAATATGAAAACATTAATGCCAATGGTCACAATCTTACTCTACTCATATCTTACAAACTTAAGAGATATCAGTATCATCAGTTATATACAATAGCAAATGTTTCAGAACAACATCTGTATTCAGATATAGCTGTATAAAAAATATCCCTGATAACATATACTGATCACTTCACATGTATTTAGAAATAGACAACAAGCAGAATAACTTATTCCATACCAAGAAGTCATCTTCTGGGAGAGCTGAAATAAATGCCGGCTCAATGGCTTGAAGAAAATCAAAGCCTTGAGTTGCCCACCTATCTCAAAGAAAAAGAAAAGACAGAAAAATAAATTGCTCTTCAGCTAGAGGCATCAGAAGAGTTTCAACAACATCCAAGAACAGTAAATGGCAGTTACTTATTTTTCCTCTGGAAAATATGATAAAATCCTTGTAAGAAAATGGGTTATATATTAAGTGGTAATATATTTAGCTTGTATTAATATTTGCTCATTTATAGTCAGAAAATATCTGATTTTAGCGAGGACACTGCCAAATAAAGTGAGCATCTCAACTCTTATATGTGCCATCTTCAGGAACAGTATCATCAATTCACTCCTAATATGTTGGCAACAAGCCAAATCACCATGCCTCCTGCCTAAATTCTCCTTTCTGAACCAAGATCGAAAGAGTACTAAGGATTTCATGACTATCTGATCAGCAACAACTGGGCTTCACTGGTTTCAAGGCCTAGATTGGTAAAGTAAAACAAGTAAGTAACTTGGCTAGAGCAAGTTGCGTCTTCAGCCACCTGCTCTCCCCCCACTGCCTCCTTTTAGACCTACTAGAATTAGCAGCTGCAACCTACAAAATGCAAGTAGAATCACAGGATATCCTGAGTTGGAAGGGACCCTGATCATCAGAGTCCAACTCCTGACTCCACAGAGGGCAACCTGAAAGTTAAACTGTGTATCTAAGAGCACTGTCCAAATGCTTCTTGAACACCGACAGGCCTGGGGCCACAACCACTTCCCTGGGGAGCTTGTTCCAGTGCTTGACCACCCTCTCAGTGAAGAGCTTTTTCCTAATATCCAATCTGAACTTCCCCTAAACGCAGTTTTAAGCCATTCCCTCACGTCCTATCACCAGACACCAGAAAAATGAGATCAGCACCTCCCTCTCTGCTCCCCCTCACGAGGAAGTTGTGGACAGCAATCAGGTCAAGCCCTCTGTCTCCTCTAAGCTGAGCAAGCCTACTATTCTCAGCCACTCCTCATAAGTTCTTGCCTTCTAGTCCTTTTGCCATCTTCGCTGCCCTCCTTTAAACACACTGTAATATTTTTACATCCTCCTTATATCGTGTAGCCCAAAAGCGCACATAGTATTCAAGGTGATGCTGCAATAATGCTAAGTATGGTGGGACAATCACTTCTTTCAACTGGTTACCTATATTGTGCCTAATGCACCCCAGGATATGGTTGGCCCTTTTTGTCACCAGGGCATATGGTTGACTCCCATAGAGCTTACTATCAACCACCGAGATCCCTTTCTGCAGGGCTGCACTCCAACCTCTCGGCCCTCAATCTATACACATATCCAGGATTACACCACCCCAGGTGCAAAATCTGGCATTTGTCCTTGTCAAATTTCGTAAGGTTGGTGACTGCCCAGCACTCAATCTATCAAGATCCCTCTGTAAGGCCTCTCTACCCTTGAGGGAATCAATGGCTCCTCCTAATTTAGTATCATTGGCAAACTTATTTAGTATGCTCTCAACTCCTGTGTCCTGTAAGGCCTCTCTAAACATTGAAGAGAACTGGCCCTAAAATTGAGCACTGGGGGACACCCTAGTGACTGGCCGCCAGCCAGATGGTACCCCATTTACTCCAACTCTCTGAGCCCAACTCTTCAGCCAATTGTTCACCCATCATATGGCGCACATGTCTAGCTGGATGCTGGACAATTTATCCAGAAGGACATTGTGAGAGAGAGTGTCAAAAGCCTTGTTAAAATAATAATTTAAAAACAAAACAAACAAAAAAAAACCCCAACCAACCCCAAAACCACCAAACCAACCACATCCAGTGCCTTGTCTTCACCCACTAGGTGGGTAACCTTGTCATAAAAGGATATTTAGTAAGGCATGGCTTGTCCTCCATGAGCCCATGCTGACTTTCGACCGATGACTACATCACCTCTGGGATGTTTTTCAGTAACTCCCAGAATAACCTTCTCCATAATTTTACCAGGAACTGAACTGAGACTGACAGGCCTATAATTACACGGGTCATCTTTCTTGCCCTTCTTGAAAACTGGAATAACATTTGCTAACTTCCAGTCAAGGGGAGCCTCTCCAGATTCCCAAGACTGCTGATAGATAACTGAGAGAGGTCTCGCAATAACATCAGCCAACTTCTTCAGTACCTTGGAATGAATTCCATCAGGCCCCATAGACTTGCATGCATTCCACTGCAGCAGCAAATCTCGTACAAGTTAAAGTCAACCAGGAGCTATTCACTCCCCTAGTCATGTTCCTCCAACTGAGGGGTCCAGGGGTCCCAGGGCCCATCTTAAAGACAGAGGTGAAGAAGGCATTAAATGTCTCTGCGCTATCTTCATCCTTATTTGTGAGGAACTAACGGACCAACGTCATCTTAAGTCCTTTTTGCTGTTACCATACTTAGAAAAGCCTTTTAAAGTTGTTTTTTTTATTATTATTATTTGTTTGTTTCCTTTTGTTTTTTTAAGATTAGCACCCCAAGATAACTAGTCTATCTACACATGGTTCAGCCTGCCCACTCTGCCCTCCTCTTCTTCCAGCAAGCAGAACAAACCACCTCCAGGACAGACTGATCAGCCCTATACTTTAAGGAAACAAAACTGTCACTGATGTGTAATCTGATAGCACAGACCAACATATGGTACCTATTTTAATGCAAAACCAAAAAAAATCTATTAAATTTCTGATATACCAGCTGCAAAATGCTGCAAAACTACCTAAATAAATACAGTAATGGTATCATTCTGCTTGGGCCAGTTTCCCAGTTTCTCTGTGAACATCCTCAAAGTGATGTAACTTTGTAACTTTTTTCATTAGTGCCTAGCAGCGCAGTTTCATAGCACTGACTGTAAGCACCATTTGAGAGACCACTGGGCACAACGTTACTGTCAAGACAGAAAATACTTCAGACTACAACAACAACAACAAAAAACAATAATCCACAAAGGCATCCATTACTGCAATCATAAAACTGAAGAGTTTTCACCAGAGTGGAAACGCTTCTTCCTCACCTCTGGACCGTACTTTTCGATGCTTTCAGAAAGGACTAGTAGAAGGACTTCTACAGGAGGCCAAAGCTTCCATACGTACACCGCTTCCACAACTGGCACAAAACAATACTCCTTTCTCTGTGGGATGCCCGGAGAATGACTGTTGCATATGCTGCGATCTTTGTTGACTCCTGATTACATAGCACTTTTGTTTCAACCTAACGACCCTTAACTAAAGACTTTTAATTGTCTGGGTCCAACAATCTCCACTTTTTCTTCCCATTTTCTGTCAGCTAACATGAGGCAAAATGTTCCACAAAGTCTTCTGCTAAGCAGTTGTTCATTTGGCTTTATTGCTTTTACTATTCAAATTACTTTCAAAAGTGGAGAGCCAGAAGCATCAATAGTTCAGAAGAACTGCTTCTAAACAATAAGGTGTTATTCACAGTGTGAAGAGTCCTGTGTGGTAGTTAAACACAAGCTACTATGGCAATAACAAGCTAGCTGTTACCTGGGTCGAGTGCCTCGGCCACTCTCACATTTTGTTAGCACATAATTCATCCATTTTCTGGCAAAGCTGATATACTTGTCTCCAATTTTCTGCCTAAATTCGCCAGACATCAGACGAACAACTTCTTTATGGTACTGTAAGAAACTAAAGATTACTTTTCACGTATTAATAAGAACAAATATACCGTTTGCAATATCCACTGGAGTATTTGCAGGCTAACGAAACTCTAAAGTATGGTAACAGTTACATCCTATTCTTAGACAAAATAATTTTATCTTAGCAGTTGCATATTTATAGAAAAAAAATAACAAAAAAGTATATGATACAAAATGTGTTATAGCGAGAGGCAGCACTTGAGCCATATTACATTCTTGTCTGTATAAGGGCATGTGTTGATGTTTAACAGTGTACATGTCATTTAGAAAACATCCTACGTAAATACTCGGTTCTGTAATCAGAGATTGAACCGCAAAGTAGTGTTTATTTTTAGTTATATTGCAGGTAACATCAGGGGATAAGGGAGTTATATATGTACATTTAAAAAATTAAACAGAAATACTGGCTGTTTTTTAGAAGACTGATCCTTAGAAGTATGTTAGGGTATGATACAACCTTAAGAAATTTCACATAGCTCACAGGAATCAAATAGTGAAACAGTATGCTAAAAGCCTCTGAATATGACATTTCCTCATCAGCACTCAAAAGATAAAAGGAAAGCTATTTTCACTGCATCAAAGAACCACCATAAACTTTGAAAAAATGGCTCACATTACAGTATTATGCTATTCTAGGCTGAAAAACTGTGAGAAACCAAGTTAAACAATGACATTCAATATCAAAGGATATTTCTGATTTAACCTAAAAAGCTGCCAAGTAGCAGAGCCTACAAGACTACACCTGAATTCATCAAGTTCTTAAAGCTTTTCAGAGTTCCAGGCATTGCTAATTGAAGTCTGAGTTTAATAGATCCATCTATTCTTTTTCAAATCATTTTCACGTAAGATTTATGTGGCAACACATATTTTTTACAATGTTCTGCTAGAATTTTTCATATTTCCACAGAGTTATAGTTAACTTATTTGCACCAATGCAAAACCAGACATTTCACTTGGTTTTTACCCATTTTTACTACAAATAAATGTGTCACTAAGATTTTGTTTCCTTACCTCAAACCCAAAATTGTAACCCTGAATCATAGCTTCCCGGTAGTATTGCTGCAAAGTGGCAGATTCAGATTCATCAACTTCAGCATCAAACTCCGATGTGAACATGTGATCAACTCGATCAATAGCGCTGCTTATCTTATTGCATAGCTGTAATGCATCACTCTGAGTAACAACAAAAAGGGATGGGGGGGGGGGGGGCATCAAATTGTTATTTATATTCTGCAGTTGACAAGACTACAGCAACCCTGAACCTAACAATTACATTACTTTAAGTACTTAATGTACTTTAATGCCATCACAATTCATTCAGTCTTGGAAAAGAAACACTTCCCAGCAGTTGCACTGAGCAAGTCTTGTAATTAACTGAAGTATTATAATTAAGTTTGTTTCCTTCAGTGAGATTAACTTTAGAAACAAAGACAGTAAAGACGGGGGAAAAAACCCACCAAACATAAACACCCAACCAAAAATCAGACAAGAATAGAGAAAATAAGTTTTACTGTCTATACAGTGACCAAGCCTTTGGTTGTATTTTCACCTTGGTACATGGACAAAGCTTTTATTGAACTCAGGTGGAAATGTAGGTCCAAAAAAACAACCAAACAAACTAAAATCCACCAAAGAAAACCCTCATCCAACAAAAAAAAGCCACAACAAAAAAAACCTACACCAAAAACAAGAGCAAAAAACCAGACACACCTACCTACTTTTATATCTCAAAGCAGCCACCTTCTCCAAATATAGAAAAAAAAAAAAAGAGTTGTTTCTTGCAGGTCATGGATTTTGATAGGATATACTTTTATGAAATGAAACACTTCCTTTCAATTCAATAGCGCTCTCCATAGGAAGATGTATTTATTCTGTTGCTATTAATATTTCTAGTGCATTATGGACTTGTTTCCCACTTACCCAGGGCAAAAATGATTACACCAATATTGCTGAAAAATACACTCAACAAATCTTTTGCAAAAGCAGAATGAAAATTGTACCAGAAGTCCATAGACGTTGCATAAATTACAATAACAGAATAACTCATCAGCATTGCAATCAAGCCTCCTTACACGATTTTACTTAACAGTGAGCAAAGCACCATCAATTTTCACTGAGATGATCTCAAAAACTGCTTACCTTCAGCTGTTGTAGAGCTTTGGCGATGACCGGTTGGCTGGATGTCTGTTCCTGGTGCAGAGATATGAGCCCTTCAATTGACTGCTGGAAAGCTTTTCTCTGACTCACAAGGTGGGCAGATTGAATGACTACAAGGAGGAGGTTATCAACCTAGGAATACAAGATACCACTAGTTCTTATAAGCAAAATCCTCTCTATAAAAACAGGTCCCAAATCAGCAAATTTCAACTGGTTGTTTTTTTCATTCTAAAAAATGAAAGACCTCTCTTGTTGCTATTCATTAAAATCTTTAATTCACACAGAAAAGTCTGATACTGGCAACTGAACTTGATAAACTCTCATCTTATGAGCAGAGGTCTATTAGGGCAACTGCCACAGCAAGTTTTCAAGGACAATATACTCCTATTCGCTTCTGGAAATGCTTGGGAAACACTGTATTAAAATTATCTGCAGAACAATTATACACAGAAAGGCAGCATCTGAGCAAAATAATTACATTTTCCTCAAAGCAGATGGAGGTAACAACCATCACATAAATAAGCAGGTTTTATGCAAGTAATGTAATACACTTCAGGACAAAAACCTACTATTGAACATGGAAAGCTATAGATTTACCACACAGTATTTGCTCAAGTTTTGAAAATTATTAAAATGTAAAAATATGTTTTGGAAACCAGAGCTCTGATATTGCAGAAGTCTATAAAAGTACACAGTCACAGATGGTGTTGCCTTTGCTGTGGCACTATGAGTCACGTACTAAGCTCTGTTGACTTCAAACTACAGACAATGCATCTGCAACAAGTTACAAAACGAGACCTACTTCATCCAGATGTTCAATACCTCATCCCCAAAGAATATTTTCATGCTCAAAATTCTTTAAATGTTGATGGGATTCTCCTATTTTATGAATATTTGTTAAATAACACTTCACATTTTCTCTAGTTTGCAATCAAAACATGCTTTTTTGAAAAATATGGGGGACAATCTTTCTGAAGGACTTTTTTTACTTCCTAACCGTTCAATACTGTATTTTTAAAAATTAAACAAGTGTTATAGACATACACATATAAACACAAACACAAGCACACAGTGTTTTATGTGCACTTACATATGTCTGAATAGAATACCATTTGCAAAACAAGTTCCATCTTTTGTTGTTTTCATTTTCTGAATGAAATGCTAACTTTGATAGAAGTCCAATGAAATTCTAAGCACTTAATCAAAGGCTTTTTTTTTTTTTTTATTGCTCCGTCTGGAGGAAGTAACACGTTTGCACATTAAAAACAGCAGTATGTACAGGAGTAACTTTTTCAACTGCCTATAATTACTAGAGCCCTCTGAATGCTAGAGGCCAGGCACAGTGACATGGAAAAGCCACCTTGTTCGTGGACAGTAGAGCCCATTTATGGTGGGGATCCGAGGAACTGCATGACATACCAAAAGGAAAATTCACTTGCTTAACATAAGGATATGAGAACAGGATGGGCAGGGAGCTGCAGCTGGCTCAGTTGCTAGAGCGTAGCAGAATTGCTGGCAGGGAACCCCTCTTGGCTTGGGATGAAGGAAAGTATGACTGGAAAGATTTCTTCTTGCAGAACACCCAGTAGCTTCCACAGAAATTTAACTTTAAATGTCACTATTCATCCAAGATCAAAAGCAACTGGTTTCATGCCTGGGTGTGTGGAAAGCACACAACTACCGTATGTTTTTGGAGACTGGTGACTTCTTAATAAATAAAATGTACAGTTTTCAAGTCCTATTCACACTTCTGATACTGAACACCCAGCTAGCTATTCAAAGTATCTTTTTATTATAAAAGCCCAACCCCCAAAAAATGCACCTTGTAGAGATTAATCCTTCTAAGAAATGCTAAAATCCACTGAATTTAATATCTGTATTAACACAACTATTAATTAATCCTATCCTTGAATTTAACTTTTTATTACCTGTAAAAGGATACATGCCTCACAAATTACTGTGGTTAATCTCAAAAGATAAGCATACATAGAACCATGGAGATTACAATGAGTAAAAAAAAAAACAAAAACCAAACCAACAAACAACCCACCAAAACCCACCTGCATGGTGCGCAGTGTGTCAACAGTTTCTACTTGTGGCACTACTTTGACGGGCTGACCCTCCCATGCACTCCAGCTGTCATCTAATTCATGGTCTTTATCACTGTGTTTGGTCATTAGTAAATAGGCCTCATATGCAACCTCATCTGAATCCTTTGAGCAATCCTTTCCAGCAGCTGCATTGAGGAGCTGCAAGATGACAGATTTTTGCCCTGCAATACTATTTGGTACAAATACTTGTAAACTCTCAAGTCCAGGGATTTGTACCTGTAGAAAAAAATAAAAATACACTGAATGAGTAAATCTCACTGTCTTCTACGATACATAAAATAAATAAAATAGATATATGTCATCTCATTTAAGTAACAAGGAGAGTTTCCATCTTAAACAGCTGTACAATATGCATAGTAAAACAATACATTCAACCGTTTTTGCACTAGAAGTCAAAATGCATTATAAGAAATTATTTGGCTTGAAATCCACTAGATCACCAACTTTCAGCGACATCTTTCTGTGCACCTTCAATTGATCCTTCTACATATTCTTCTAAAGGAATCTTGTTACAAAAAAGTCTGATTTCACATATATACTCTATATGTATGTATAAAATATATATATGCATATTTTAAAAATTAGTCAAAACTAATTTAAGACTTATGAAGCACGCATTTTTAAGACTGTAACATTAAAAGAAGAGGAATTCCTTTGGGATCTCTAAGAATCCACATAACATTTCTTAATGGCTACAAAAGAGTAAGCAAATATATGGCTAAAAAATATCAGTTATTCTTTTACTATTCATGAGAGAGAAATGAAGTCCAATAAGCTAATACTTGTAATACTACTTACACTACTTAAAAACTACTTCGGCATTGTATCTGTCACATTGGTAATGATAATTTAACCAAGTCAGACATCAGAATGGCGAATACAGTAAAACAGTTGATAACTGTGAATTGACTTGAGGTAACTGACTTATAGTGCAATTTAATTCTCTCTTTTCAGAGTTTGATGTCATCAAGCTAAGACAAAACATAGCACTCAACATGTTTACCATTAGGCAGCCATATTTTATAATTATAACCATTATAATCTACAGTTCAATGTAAAAACTAGATGATTGTTACTGAAAGCTAAAATAGTTTCCCCAAACTAATGAGCATCTGATTGAAAAAGTTGTTAAAAATTTAAACTCCCTACGTGGTGTTAGAGTGCCAATATATGAAGTGTTAATCACCAAAATGTATGTCGTTTTGAGCAGTGAAAAAAAGGGGAAGACATAATACATAAAGAGAGATAAATCTTGAGATCAAAATAATCTACCTACATTATTTAACCCATGTTCTTACACAGATTTTTCAAACTCAAGATTCAATTTTTTTCTTCAAGGCACATGCATAAGAACAACAATTCTATCTTTAACTAAAAGGCCTACCAAATTTAATATTGTGTCTTAAAACAGACAAGAGTGGATACCTGGGGAAAAATATTTTTCAGAAGTAAATATATGCTGATTTCCCTGACTGTTCTCCCATCCTTTAACAATTCACAGACCAGCGTCCTGCTGAGCCAGATGTTTCATCCATGTATTTAACAACCCCTTATGAACTTCTGTCCTATGAACTTGTCCGACTCCTCTCAATCCAATTCCTACTTTTAGCAATCATTTACATAAATCTAACAGAAATTTTGTTGTGCAAAAGTTAGTAGATTATTTCCCAACTGGGAATCACATATATTAAATGTATGGAAGGACAAAGAAGAACAGCAGATCCAAACAATTTAATCAGTTGAAGCAATTGATTTGCTTAAATTCAAACTACAGTAAAGATTTGTTGACCTAGAAATTTTTAAGTAATAAAGTACAAAACCATAAATGTGGGAATTTACAGCGCAGTAAATACCAGGCACCCAGAGTTTAACCTACTTTTGCTGCACAACAGTTTTCTAGCAACAGTTATTCTGGAACAGAACACAGCCCCTGCATTTCTCACATCTTTAGTAGTCTCAAGGAAGCTCACGAGAGCAGACCTCCACTATAAAATTGTACCTTTATAAAAGCACACAAAACACAGGTCCATAGTCTGAGATTATCTACTTAAACATGTCCATTTACAGGTATATCTGTTTACCTCATAGACTTGAAAGCATTTATTTTTCTTAACACTCCCTACTAAGTGCTATTACTCCCCTCTCACAAATGAGTAAGTACTAGTGAAGCAAAATGGCTTTTCCTAAGTCACAAAGAGAATCCTTCAGAAGACAAGGAATTAAGACACCGCTTTTCCAAAACATAGACTAGCATTCTCACTCACACACAGGTACAGAAAATAATTTGACTGCCACAATCCAATATTAAACACATGACATTTTAAATGTTGAGATATAGATGCCACATTAAAAAATTGAAAGTATGTCAATGTGGTGGGTTGACCCTGGCTGGATGCCAGGTGCCTACCACAGCTGCTCTATCACTCCCCTCCTCAGCTGGACAGGAGAGAGAAAAATATTACAAAAAGCTCGTGGGTCGAGATAAGGACAGGGAAAGATCACTCACCAGTTACCATCATGGGCAAAACAGACTTGACTTGGGGAAATCAGCTTAATTTATTACCAATCAAATCAGAATAGGATAATGAAAAATAAAAACTAAATCTTAAAACACCTTCCCCCCATCCCTCCCTTCTTTGCGGGCTCAACTTCACTCCCAAATTCTCTACCTCCTCCCTCTGAGCAGTGCAGGGGGACAGAGAATGGGGATTGCGGTCAGTTCATCACACGCTGTCTCTGCCGCTCCTTCCTCCCTCAGGGGGAGGATTCCTCACACTCTGCCCCTGCTCCAGCCTGGGGTCCCTCCCATGGGAGACAGTCCTCCATGAACTTCTCCAGCACGAGTGCTTCCCATACACTACAAGCTGCTCCACCCTGGGTCCTTCCTTCCCACTGGGTGCAGCCCTTCAGGAGCAGACTGCTCCAGCATGGGTCCCCTGCAGGGTGACAAGCCCAGCCAGCAAACCTGCTCCAGCCTGGGCTCCTCTCCCCATGAGGCCAAAGGCCCTGCCAGGACCCTGCTCCAGTGTGGGCTTCCCATGGGGTCACAGCCTCCTTCAGGCACGCCCCTGCTCCGGCATGGGGTCCTCTCCGAGCTGCCGGTGGAGATCTGCTCCACCGTGGACCTCCATGGGCTGCAGGGGGACAGCCTGCCCCACCATGGTCTTCACCAGGGGCTGCAGGGGAATCTCTGCTCTGGCACCTGCAGCACCTCCTCCCCCTCCTTCTTCCCTGACCTTGGTGTCTGCAGAGACACCCCTCTCTTCAGCTGCAACTGCACACTTTTTTTTTTCCCCCCCTTCTTCTTACGTACATTATCCCAGAGGTGCTACCACCATCACTGATGGGCTCAGCCTTGGCCAGCAGTGGGTCTTTCTTGGAGCCAGCTGGCATTGGCTCTGTCAGACACAGGGGAAGTTTCTAGCAGCTTTTCACAGAAGCCACCCCTGTAGCCCCCCCCGCTACTGAAACCTGCCACAAAAACCCAATAGAGTCAGTAAATATCCTTTGACATTTTGCTTAGCATCTCCACTCTACTTTCATGCCTCTAAACTGAATTTACCTTCACATACTCTTTTGTTTTCAGAGCATTCAGAAGATCTCGCACAGGGGCTGACAATGCAAATTCTGCTGCTATTTCAAGGTCCTACAATTAATGACAAAACAGAAGAATACGCTTTCAGACTAAACTTCTTTAAAGCATATAAACAAGATGAGACACTACTGTTAACTTACCTTCCTCAGCATTTTAGCAAAACCAAGAGCTTTGGAGGCTCTTTCTCTAGCTTCATGAAACAGCTCTTTGAGTGCTCGGCTGGTCTCTATAACAGACCTCCTGAAACATTAGTAAGAATGAAGTGACAACGTTTTAATAAATCATATTGCATTTTTACAGCTATTAGAAAATAAGAATTATTTACATATAAATCAACAGAAAGAGCATATAAAAGGTAAATATTTACAAGGAGCTGACTGAAATAAATTGAACTTGCGCAGCCACATTTTTGATACGGATATAAAAACTGAATTTAAATAATACACAACCTCTCACACCCTGAACTAAGAAGTAACTTCAAACGAACAAAATTATGGTTCATTACTACTGCGTACAGCAGTATCAGCAGTAAAGTCTATGGAGTCTCACATTTATGAAGTTTACATTCTAAGAAATAAAATGCAGTATGTGCCTGTCAGGGGTATAGAAACGTGAGTAAGTGTGTTTACTATCATTAAGCCAAAGGGCTTAATACCTGATTTCATCTGATGCAGTACTGTCATCGGCACTGGCCCAAAATTCATCACAACTGTCTTGTAGTCCAGA